CACACACACACACACACACACACACACACACACACACACACACACACACACACACACACACAGAGGAGGATACAGACACACACCCCAACCCCAGCCTGACCCGTTTTTTTGTTGATTTGTTTTAAATATTTGCATCTTCATTTTTTTTAAACACCTAGTTTCTGAACAAAAATACGAAAATCATTTCAAAAACAAATACAGCACAACTCAGGGACCATATCCCTCATGATAAAAAATGCCAAAAAAAAATTGCTGCTTTTCTTTTTATTTTTAAAAAATATTTTGTTTAAATCGAATTTCGTGTTTTATTTTTTAAAAATCTTAAACGAAGTCGGATTTTGAAATACGAAACATAGGATTGTAGGGTTTTCAAGCCCTACACCCCTGTATTTTTTTGTTTTTTTTTTACGTATTTAGGGGTAATTTTTTTTTTTTTTTAAACCAGGTCGCGGAGTGGGCCTCATCGGCCGCGGCCTAGGCCGAGATTCTCGGCCGCAGCGGCCGAAATGCCCGCGGCCTAGGCCGCGGGTGTCACATATTATCGTATAACTCGCGTTCAAACGTCAACGGAAGTCCTGCCGCCTTTCGCACATCTCGTGACGCATCCCAGTACGACGGCGCGCCAGACTTCCCTCCAAAATCACGGATCCTCTTTGCGCCGTCTAGGAGCCCTTAGTACTTCCTCTCGCATTCGTCCACGGTGCGCTCGCCATACCCTTTCTCGAGAAGCTTCTTCGCAATCCACTCGTACTTCTCCTTCCTACTTCTCATCTGTTGCCTGCCTTTTTTCTTTTGCTGCATACAGTCTTCTTCAAAAAGCAGTTTCAGCAGTGCGACGCTCTCCCCTAAACCCCAATCCGCACCTCGGAATTTGGGCTTGTCCCAGCAACGCCCTCCCCGACCTGCCCTTCTGCCCTTCTTCCTCACTTCTCCACCCACCCCGTCATCCGTTTTGCCATCACCGCTGATGCCGACAGTCACATGACCCGTGCTTTGCGTACCAGCTATGTCGGCAGTGGGTGATGCCCACATCTCGCCCATTCCAGCGTCCTGCTTGTCCATATCCTCACCCTGATCGGGGACCAATTCAGAAGGGTCATTTCCCATTATTTCGGAATCGACGACATGAAGCGGCCTCCCGTCATGACTGCGGAACGCGGCATCCGAAGGCATGGACTGCGCAGTGCCTCCAACCGGTGATGGAGGAGGTGGTCTTGAATAATAGAGCATGGGGGTGGCTCCACCTACACCCGCCTGCATGTGCCCAGCAGCGCCAGCAATGTATGATGTATGTGTCGATGATGCAGGCCCCCCCGCAGGCACCTCTCCTTCCCCGCCGGGTCCCATGGCTGGCGGTGAGTGTTGCCACTGACATCCACGTGGCATGCCCCACCCATGATAACCACCACAGCTCCCATACGATTCTCCACCTCGCTGCGGTCCAAGGCTATCACCTTCGGCGAGGAGGGCAGTCATAGATCGAGGCTCTCTTCCCCCAGCGTACATCGAAGTGTGCAGATTCTTGAACGCTGGCAGGGGCGGCAGACCGTGTGGCATAACGGGAGATGGCTGTACGTAAAACGACCCACCTCCAGCACGCGACGGAGGTTGATAACCTGGGACGTACGTGGCAGGGGTCGATGGCGGGACATCCGCCATGCATGTTTCGACAGGCATCGGGGACGGGGACAGGGAGAGGGATGGCGAACGGGGTTGGAAAGTGTGACGACCACCTTCCATACCTTCACTACGAAGCTTCTACACGTGGGACTTCGACGCACCTCCGCGACCCCAGCAATGACACGTGGCTGTGATAGACGCATTGAGGAATCGTGGATCTTCGACGCCTGGATCACGTGAGAAATGAAGGAAGTGCTTTGCGTTATGGCTGCGACGATAAATAGACCGATTGGACAATGACGTGACATGACCCATGTAAACGGTGGGCTTCCCGGGCGGATAAACGTTCAGGTTGCTATTCACTTGCTGAAGTGCCAATGAAGTGGGACTTCCAGACCCCCAGGGGCAACTGCGGGGGCCGGGGTGGGGGGGTGGGTGGGTACACGGCCTTGGGACAGGATGTGGTCACTGGTTACCGTTGGGCCGCGCGGCGGGACACACCGTCGGGGTTACGGTACCGTGCCGGCCGTCACACACTGTCCACCGAAGGCGGACATTCCTGGACTACCGTTTGGACCGATGAAAAA